TCAGGCTAAAGTTTGTGATTGCTTAGGAGCCACCAGAATTGTTTGTTGCAGTAGGGAGTGGGAGGGGCAGGAACTTACTCTCTATCCCAGAACCAAAATGCCCTGCCCTCCTAGAGCACCACCCAGCTAAAGATCTCAAAGAGCTTTACAGGCCTCAGGGAATTCCCCTTCCCACCATACCCAGGCCAACTGGATGCAAAGGAAAAGAAGATTCATTACCATCAATTCCTGCTGCCTTGATCCCCTCCTTCTCTGCCTCTCTGTCCTGGATCTCCCCAGCATGCAACCTCCATGAAGCCCACACCCAAGCTGCCATTGAATACTCTGTTTTTTCATCCCTTCCCCACATGCTAACTAAATTCTACTCCCTTCTTAAGTCATCTCTCCTCTTGACTCCTGCAACTGCCTCCTCTCTGGCCCAGCTGAGATGTGCTCCCACTTGGCTCAGCCAAAGTGCTGCTGCTAAAATCACCTTTCTCCTCTGCGGTTCTGTTCATATCACTCACTTCTTCAGAGTCTCCACTGTCGTCCTTCTGCTTCCTGCATCTGGGTCAGACTTCTCCTCCCCTCTAAGACCCTACCCAGCTCCACTCGTGCCTGCCCTCCTGCTTCCACCTTGCTCAGCCCAAGCCCCCACTCTCACCACCCCTTTGTAACCTTCTCCTCATCATCTTTCTACTGCCTTCCAAGCCTCCCCTTCTGCATGGGAGTCTCGTCTGCTTCCCATGGGTCACATGACTTCCAGCTTCTCCTTCTCATCTCTTCCCCAGGGCTCACTTCTTCCTGCAGTGACCTCTGTGAGATTCCTACACACAACCCCTGATGTGCTCTGTGAGTCTGAACGATCCCATTTTAGAGTCTTCTATTTTAATTCTTCCACAAAAGTATTGAAATATTTTCCAAATATATAGAATATATTTGAATGATAAGGCTAATCAAGTTTCTAATCTTGCAGTCTTTACACAATCAAATTCCCACTGATTCTAATGGGAGCTCTGCATGAATTAAAACTACAGAATCAGGCACTATGTGTGGGGAAAATACAGTGATTCAGCAGACACTGCAATAATAAAATATAACCGTAGAAGTTTAAAGTACTGAACTCATTAACTTTGAAATATATTAAGCAAACTCTTTAACCACTCACTCAACTATATTGTCTTTAGTTGGCAGCCATTCAGCTGTATAGAAATTTAACTTTTTAGCCAGAGCCCTTCGAAGTTAAGAAGAGTCTTTCCATTGACTTCAGTGGGTTTTACACCAAGCCTTAATGAGCCATAAGAAGGCTCCTACAATGGCCCCTGAAAGAGGAAGTTAGGTCCTAATCCTGCAATCAAATCTGCATTTGATGGAAACCCAGTCAGATCAAAGTGCAAAATTCAGGCCATGGTGAGAATAAGAAGAGGGGGAGGGGGCGGGAGGAGAGAGTGTTTTTAAGGGCTCCAAAATTCAATCTGGTTTCAGAGTAGCAGCCGTGTTAGTCTGTATTCGCAAAAAGAACAGGAGTACTTGTGGCACCTTAGAGACTAACAAATTTATTAGAGCATAAGCTTTCGTGGGCTACAGCCCACTTCTTCGGATGCATATAGAGTGAAACATATATTGAGGAGATATATATACACACATACAGAGAGCATGAACAGGTGGGAGTTGTCTTACCAACTCTGAGAGGCCAATTAAGTAAGAGAAAAAAAAAACTTTTGAAGTGATAATCAAGATAGCTCAGTACAGACAGTTTGATAAGAAGTGTGAGAATACTTACAAGGGGAGATAGATTCAATGTTTGTAATGGCTCAGCCATTCCCAGTCCTTATTCAATCCTGAGTTGATTGTGTCTAGTTTGCATAGCAATTCCAGCTCAGCAGTCTCATAGACTCATAGACTTTAAGGTCAGAAGGGACCATTATGATCATCTAGTCTGACCTCCCGCATGATGCAGGCCACAAAAGCTGACCCACCCACTCCTGGAATAATTCTCTCCCTTGACTCAGCTGTTGAACTCCCCAAATCATGATTTAAAGACTTCAAGTCGCAGAGAATCCTCCAGCAAGCGACCCCTGCCCCATGCTGCGGAAGAAGGCGAAAAACCTCCAGGGCCTCTGCCAATCTACCCTGGAGGAAAATTCCTTCCCGACCCCAAATATGGCGATCAGCAGAACCCCGAGCATGTGGGCAAGATTCTCCAGCCAGACCCGCATTGACCATTGATACTAATTACCTGCGATGGCACGTTATTGACCTATTGACTAAAATCACGTTATCCTATCAAACCATCCCCTCCATAAACTTATCAAGCTTAATCTTAAAGCCAGAGAGGTCTTTCGCCCCCACTGTTTCCCTCGGAAGGCTGTTCCAGAACTTCACCCCTCTGACGGTTAGAAACCGTCGTCTAATTTCAAGCCTAAACTTCCCGACGGCCAGTTTATATCCATTTGTTCTCTCGTTGGAGTCTGTTTTTGAAGTTTTTCTGTCGTAAGATAGCCACCCGCAGGTCTGTCATTGAATGGCCAGACAGGTTAAAGTGTTCTCCCACTGGTTTTTGAGTATTATGATTCCTGTCAGATTTGTGTCCATTAATTCTTTTGCGTAGAGACTGTCCGGTTTGGCCAATGTACATGGCAGAGGGGCATTGCTGGCACATATCACATTGGTAGATGTGCAGGTGAACGAGCCCCTGATGGTATGGCTGATGTGATTAGGCCCTATGATGATGTCACTTGAATAGATATGTGGACAGAGTTGGCATCGGGCTTTGTTACAAGGATAGGTTCCTGGGTCAGTGTTTTTGTTCAGTGATGTGTGGTTGCTGGTGAGTATTTGCTTTAGGTTGGGGGGTTGTCTGTAAGCAAGGACAGGTCTGTCTCCCAAGATCTGTGAGAGTAAAGGATCATCTTTCAGGATAGGTTGTAGATCTCTAATGATGCGCTGGAGAGGTTTTAGTTGGGGGCTGAAGGTGACAGCTAGTGGTGTTCTGTTATTTTCTTTCTTGGGCCTGTCTTGTAGGAGGTGACTTCTGGGTACTCGTCTGGCTCTGTCAATCTGTTTTTTCACTTCAGCAGGTGGGTATTGTAGTTTTAAGAATGCTTGATAGAGATCTTGTAGGTGCTTGTCTCTATCTGAGGGATTGGAGCAAATGCGGTTATATCTTAGAGCTTGGCTGTAGACAATGGATCGTGTGGTGTGTCCTGGATGGAAGCTGGAGGCATGTAGGTAAGTGTAGCGGTCAGTAGGTTTCCGGTACAGGGTGGTATTTATGTGACCATCGCTTATTAGCACAGTAGTGTCCAGGAAATGGACCGCTTGTGTGGATTGATCTAGGCTGAAGTTGATGGTGGGATGGAAATTATTGAAATCATGGTGGAATTCCTCAAGGGCTTCTTTTCCATGGGTCCAGATGATGAAGATGTCATCAATGTAGCGCAAGTAAAGTAGGGGCGTTAGGGGACGAGAGCTAAGGAAGCGTTGTTCTAAGTCATCCATAAAAATGTTGGCATACTGTGGGGCCATGCGGGTACCCATAGCAGTGGGTTTTATAAAAAGTTCAGTCTGCTAGTCATGCCTGTCAAATTTTATGCAAGCCAGACATAAATTGCTGTATTCCTCCTTATAACAAAGAGGAGACATGGTGATGAAAATGATCTTTCTATAATTTATCTACACATGAAGCTCCATTGAAGTCAGTGGGATTCCACAAGGCTCAAGGATCTACCTGTGCAGAGATCATTGTAGGATTGAGGTCTAGATTTAATATTCTTAGGGCAATAACATAGTTTCCCCATTATATTTGATCTTGCACAATTAATAAGAGTAATTTTCTTTTTTTTTTAATTGGCTCACATCACTGAATCAGTAATCCGTGAGTTATATTAATAATTCTTATTTCATAGAGTACTTTCTATTTTCAAAGCTCTGTAGTCATCAGTCAATTATTACTCTGTATATACATTTTTTGCTTCTGACAAGAGAAAATGTCTAGTGAGACTATTCATCACTACGCAAAGAATTGTGCTATTCTTATAGAAATAATTTAAAAAGATATAGTCTGAATTTTATTTTTACTGAGAATGGAAAATTAAGAACTGGAGGAAACATTTATGGTCCAAATTAACTGCTGTTTTGAAAACAAAGTAATCTATACATCATGGACAGGTTCCTCCAAAGATGCCAAGTGGTTTATCCTGTCTATGAAGCTAACTCTTTGAATTACCAGTTACCTATAGCTAACTCCTACCGATCATAAAATATTTGCTTCTATTGCTTCCCCCAATTTATCTTGTTTCCTTAAACGATTTCAACCACTTCCAGCAAAAATGAGTCTGGAACACTTTTCCCCCTACCCTTTGCAGAACATTGACTCAAATTACAATTTCAAGCCACACGTGAGAGCAATTGAATACTTTGGGAGGCATCTGTATAGCTAAAAATGAATATACCACAGCATTTCAAATCTTCCTAAAGAAAAGCAAAGATATGCCAAAAATTCATCCACATCATTTATGTCTGCTTTTTGACAGCGCGTCAGGCCACTCTGCTTCATGCCCTCCTCGGCTAACAACCTCATTGTAAGATCGCAAAGAAAGTCACTCAAAAACACAGCATGCATGCGCCCACAGTAACCACACACCTGTTAACTTTACATGTACATACCCCCACTAGAACACACATATGCAACGCTACAGAAAACCCATCTCACCCCCACATGGTACCACATGCAAAACCCCAACACTGTATCCTCCCACTCTTATGCACACCCCCACAGAGGCACCCCAGTATGCCATGCCTCCTCTCCTGCAATACCCCTCCCTACACACCTCGATATTACCTAACCCCTCCACACACGCACCTCTGCCCGCGCCCGGCACCCCAACAGAACACACAGACGTCCTTGCCCCGCACCCCAATATTCCAGCCCCTCCCCCTTGCCACACGTGCCCCGGTATTCCAGCCCCCGTCCCCCGCACGCCACCACCACGCCCTTCACACCCCCGCCTCCCACTCACTCTCCCGTCGTCGCCCACGCCCAGCAGGTGGCCTTGCAGCACGTCCATGGGCGAGGAGCGGGTGGCGTGCACGAAGGTCCCTTTGAAGAGGTGAGCGAGGGGCGGCTTCTGCGGGCAGTCCATGGCGGTGTCCGGAGGGAGGCGGCCGGTGGCGCTCAGAGTTGCAGCGGGGAGAGACGTGGTTCGGGCAGGAGCGGGATGCTGCTGCTCCGGGCTGTCGCTCGCTCTGCCTGGCTGCCTCCTGCACTCAGGGGGCTGCTGTCTATTCCCTGCGTACCAATAGCGGCTCCCCCTGCACCTAGCGCTGTCTCTCCACCCCCTAATGACTTTCCCTTTGGGGAGTGGTTACTGGCGCTGGAAGGCGCTTTCTCCTCCCCGTTGCTGCCGAGTCAGCCTTGGACGCTACAGGTTTCCGAGCTCCAGCCTGCAGAAAACAAAAGTCCGCTTACTTGCTGAGCACCTGGGCTGGGAGCAGCATATTTTGCGATTAGGAGGAGCGGGACCTGGCAATGATCCACCCGTTGGGCTGCAAACACATCCCCAAACACACGCGCTCCTGCTACTCTGGTGTCAGCCGTCAGCGCTCAGCGAAAAACACTTGTGCGAACTGCATTGGCTACATGTCTTAAAACAGAAACAACCGAAAAAGGAAGGGGAGGGGATAGATCTGGAGCCCAACGCCTGATAGCGTTAGGCTGCAAATAAAATGGAACTGCCCTCTCCTATCCAGGGCCGCTCGGGGGGGGGCAAGTGGGGCAATTTGCCCCGGGCCCCGCAGGGGCCCCCACGAGAGTTTTTCGGGGTCCCTGGAGCAGGGTCCTTCACTCGCTCCGGGGCCCCCGGAAAACTCTCGTGGCGCCCGGGCCCCCGGAGCTTCTTCCGCTCCGGGACTTCGGCGGCAGTTCGGTGGCGGGGGCGTCCTTCCGCTCCGGACCAGCCGCCGAAGTGCCCTGAAGACCCGCGGCGGGGGGGTCCTTCCGACACGCCGCCGAAGACCCCAGGCCCCCTGAATCCTCCGGGCCCTGCTCCTATCGAGGGTGACCAAATAACAAGTGTGAAAAATCAGGACACTTGGGGAGAGGTGGGGGGAAGGATAGTTGCCTATATAAGACAAAACCCCTAATGTTGGGATGGTCCCAATAATATCAGGACATTTGGTCACTCTACTGCTATCCCAGTTTGCCAGGCTACCAATCTCTCCCCTCCTAGACACTCATTTCTTTCCAAAGTACCCACACAACGGGAATTTTTCATAATTTAAAAAGAAAAACTTGAAATGATCCCAACTTCTGGACTCCCCATCAGGGGCGGCTCTAGCTTTTTTGCCACCCCAAGCACGGCAGGCAGGCTGCCTTCAGCGGTGTGCCTGCGGGAGGTCCGCCGTTCCCGCAGCTTCGGCGTACCCACCGCCGAATCCACGGGACGGGCAGACCTCCCGGAGGCACGCCGCCAAAGGCTGCCTGACTGCCGCCCTCGCAGGGACCGGCAGGGCGCCCCCCGCGGCTTGCCGCCCAAGGCACGCACTTGGAGCGCTGGTGCCAGGAGCCGCTGCTGCTCCCCATGAATCCCTCCTTCTGTGGACTAGATCCTGGGCTGCTAAGATACCTTCAGGGCAGAGTGCAGGCAGGGGTGAGGTGAGAAGGACAAAGATGTTTCTAAGCCCCCAGGAACCCAAAAGTATCTATTTAAGGGTTCCAATAAAATAGGATCTGAATTTGTATATCAACCCTGCTTTTGCTTTATCAGCACAACTCAGCCAACAAGATATTGCTAAAATGAAGCCACAGCAAATCACTTCTGCTTTGGCACATCTCCAATGTGCTCATGTACAATGGTGACCTGACACCATCAGATAAGAAAGAAAGCGTGTGGCTATTTTAATTCTGAAAAGTGTTGTGTTTTTCCTCCTTTTTTCTTCAATGTACAAAAAATGATCTTTGGATCTATAGAAAAAGATCACATCATTGTATTTATATTATGTCACAGAGAATTCAGTTTTTTAAAACATACTATTCACAAAGTACAAGATGATAGCCAGTCATAGGCCTTGTTAACTTGGTTACACACTGGTTTTTGTCCTTAATAAATTGCTTTAATTTAAAAAAAGGAGTTGCAAAGTTTCAAGAGCTATATCTGTTTAATATGGTCAAACTTTGTGGCCTGAGGGCCACATCAGGGAATAGAAATTGTATGGCGGGCCATGAATGCTCACAAAATTGGGGTTTGGGGTGGGGGAGGGAGTGCGGGCTCTGGGGTGGGGCTGGGGATGAGGAATTTGGGGTGTAGGAGGGTGCTGTGGGCTGGGACCAAGGGGTTCGGAGGGCGGGAGGGGGATCAGGGCTGGGGCAGGGGGTTGGCACATAGAGAGAGGCTCAGGGGTGCAGGCTCCGAGCGGCGCTTACTTCAAGCGGCTCCCGGAAGCAGTGGCATGTCCCTTCTCTGGCTCCTATGCGGAGGCGTGGCCAGGTAGCTCTGCACATTGCCTCATCCACAGGCAGCACCCCTGCAGCTCCCATTGGAGCACCGGAGGGGGCCATTGGAGCCAGAGTGGGGCCATGCTGCAGCTTCTGGGAGCTGCATGATGTGGCCCCGACCCTGCGCCCCGGCCTGAGTGGGGCGGCCCCAGCCTGCACCCTGGCCAGAGTGCCAGGGCGGAGCTGAGCTGCGTGGTGCAGCCCCCGACCCAGCACCCACGCCGGAGCGGGGCCAAGCCGCGTGGTGCAGCTCGTGGGCCAGCTTAAAACGGCTCACGGGCCGGATCCAGCCCGCAGGCTGTAGTTTGCCCACCCCTGTCCTATGCTGTACATGCGTGTGAATCCCTCATTGTGCAGGATATAGGACCAGAGACAGAAATGCCAACAGGCAGCCTGAACTGTAAGAAGAAAGCAGTCGAGTCTAGACCAAATAGAGAGGGTCTATGGGAAAAGAGAAAAGTGAGGGAGAACTTCATAGGGTGTGAAAGATGAAAAGCACCTTGAGATGGGAAAAAGAATGTGGGGCATGGAGAAGGTAAGAAATAGGGCCTTAAGGAAAGGGAAAGACACAGATCCAACGGAGGTAGAAAGGATAATTGCTCAGGGGAATTTTATTCCATTATACTCTATTAACAGATGTCTGCACTGGTTCCTTCTTCTTGTCCCAGATGTCATCGCTAGGAACCCCTGGAGACTCTGCACTCTAACAAGAATCCAGGGTAGACATAAAAAGTCTGAAATTTGATTTCAAAATCAAGTAACAAGTTGGACTTTTTATAAATAATAAAAAAATAGATATCTGGGGTTCTTTATTGTAGGGCTTTACATTTTTGCAAAGTTGTGGGAGTGGTGAGAGCAACACTTTAAGAACTCCATGAGTGCATCACGCTGAAAAGTATGAACTCTCAGAGATTTGTTACCAACCAAAGGCACCACATGCTCTGGGCCTGGCCCTCCTCTGATTTAAGTCAAAGGAAAGGTTTAAGTAAGGAAGGATACAGATGTGTGTTTAGTGGAGCTTTAGTGAGAATGTTGGGAACACAGGCCATAGGGAATAGCAAAACCTCATTGCAAGAAAAGTCAAGAATATTATACTAGAGCTGATCGAATCATGGAATTTCTGTTTTGTGGGAGCACATAGGTGCTCTGGACTGTAGAGTCATTTTTTTGCTTTGTGACCCAATGACTGTTTCACTTAATAGTCATTGGGCCAGAGAAAGAGAGAGTGAGAATGACTCTGTAGTCTAGTGATTAGGGTACCCACGTGGAAGACCTGGGTCCAGTATTCTTGCTCCAATCACTCTTTCATTATTTATTCACAATGGAACTTCAACAGGAGACACTGAGGAGGCCCCCACATCAGAATGTCCCAGAGTTTAGTGATTAGAGCACTCTCCTGAGAGGAAGGTGACCCCTGTACAAATACTTTCTCCTCCTCTGGCAGAGGGAGAAATTGCACTTGCACATCCCAAGTGAGTGCTCTAACCACTGAGCTAAAAGTTATAAAGTGGGTACCCCAATCACCCCATTTTGTATGGAGTGAGGCAGGCACATAACTTGTTCCTGCAAGAAATGGCTTAGGCACCTAAGTCATCTGACTGTTCCTGGATTGCTAAGCAGAGATAGGTCCCTGTCTGTGAGAGAAGGGTGAGGCTTAGCACACACCCCTGTTGTTGGCATAGCTTAGGTGGCTCCCCACTTAGCCTTCTGGCTTTTGTGGATTGCATTCCTAGGCGCCTCTCCCTGTGCATTGTATAGTCTAACTTGGCTTTGTGCATCACAGTGTTGTTTCTGTGATTTTCAGGGCACTTAAAAGTTAGGTTGTAACATGTAACTAGATTGTATCTCTTTCCCTAATGTGATGGAGTACATAGACTCCTTACTGGGATTGGCAGAGGTAAACAGACTACTTTTTCTTCTTTTTTATTTTTTAAGTAAAGGAATGATCACAGCTGCTAAATGCTGGGGTTGTCAGAGTAGCAGAGATGGGCCAGCTGGGATGAATCACCCAGTAACACTATAAGAAAGTTGTCTTGGCAAGTACTTGGGTTCCTCTGAGTTAGGAACTTGGGCCTCCTCAGGGGAAGTAGAAAATTGCTAGCTGGCAAGTATTTCTGTTTGCTTCAGCAATGTCAACTTTTGTTGCACAAACCCTTTTTTGGTTAAATTCATGTATAAGCCAGAGTGAAGGCAATCCTTTTTTACCTCTCATTGCAAACCATTCACTGGGGGAAGGTGTTGTTTGTTTTGATTGCTTTCCAGAAAACCTGGTCACATAATTTACTTAGCCTTAAAAATCCTTTGGTGTTGTCACACATTCACATTATGCTACTTTTTTTTTATTTTTATTTTGGGGGGGGGGGGTTGGCCTACTGCTCTATAAAATCTCAGAGTCTCAATCATTTTTCAGTAGCATTTCAGTCTCTCTTGCTCTTATTTTTTTAAACCCTCTGCATCCTTCTGCTAGATTTTAACAGTGGGGCTAGAATTTGAGTTCTGATGCTGAGCAACAATAGGAGATGAAGTCAAAATAGTTCTAGGAACAGCAGGAGAGATTGCAGCAGCATTAGAAGGTGGTCATAGATCCTGTCTGTTGCTTCTACTTTTCAATCTTTCATTTCACTTAGTGCAATTTGCTCCCTTTATTGTACAACACATGGATTTAATTAGTTGCTTTCTATGTTTGAGAGCTGCTCTGTAGATCGGAATAGTAACTGATCAGTAACCTGAGCAGTAGTAAGTCCTACCCTACTTTGGAAAAGC